ATTGCAATTCAAATTCACATTGCAGCGGAATTTTCGAAGGGTGACGAGGGCGATGTAATTGGGCGGAGTGTGGGCGTGGCTGGGTTTTTGGCTTGCTAACTTCCCCCCAATTTTTGGTCCATCAAAGCCACTGGCGGAGCTCAAATTGAATAGCTATCCTGGGTTTTGGAAAGCAGTTTGGTTTTAAGGTAACCATATATTACTGTTAAATTACTTTATGGACTGATAAAGTTAAAATGGTTTAAGATTGCAAATAAAAAACAAAAGGGCAGACAAGAGCTGTTAGCTTTATCAAAATGGCGCCCAACGTGGGACTTAAGAAAATTCCACATTTTGCGCCATTGAAGTCAAATAAGTTATTTAGAAATTACAGCATGGACAATTAAAAGTTAAGTTACAAATTTATAAATATGGCGGCCAACGTGGGGCTTAAGACAGTCCCACATTGGGCGCCATTTTATTTATATAAATATGCAGTCCTTCAGTATTTAACTACTTCATTCATTCAGTTACCCATATAAATTACACATTCACCCGACACTTCAAAGAATCCAGTGGAATTATATAATTATGACTGAATTGAATTTAGCCAGAAAAGGGTACCAACTGCTGTTGAGGACGTAATTATGTGTTTCCATTTAACCGGCTGTCTAACGTTTCGCTGGGCCAATTTGCACTTGTCTAGCTAAGCGACAGCCGGCAATTAAACTTGGCTGCGCCGCGGGAGGAAATAAGACCAGAAAATTTCCCAGGAAAATGGAGAAGTAGATCTAGCGAGAAAGTTGTCAGCGCTTTGAAGCATTCTCATCGTGTCTTGTCTTCTCCTGTGGCAATTCCATTGAATGTCCGCAGTCAGCCCACAATCCCACCCCATGTTCCACCATGTACATTTTCCCCCTCTGCAGAGTGTGTGTGTGTGCCGGCAAATATGCCCTGCGACTGTTTGGTCTTGTTGCGCTTTAATTTATGCCATCCAGCCAGCAGTAGGAACAGCTCCTGTGGATGCACTCTACTGTTTGCCACCCGTTTTTACCCCCTTCCCTCAATGCCCTCCGCAGTTTGTCTGTTTGGTGAAGCAAAACCTATTTTCTTTGCAGCTGATTGCATTTTATAGCATTGCAACCTGTCAGGCTAACAGCTTCAAACTCTCAACTCCTTTGGCCCAGGAATTTTCAGCTGCACAACACCACCCGCATCCCCCTTCTTTTTGCCCAGCATCCAGCCATGCTCTATGAATTTTTTAGCACACCTCGCGTGCTGCGCTCAAGCTGAAAGAGCAAAAAAGACGGGGATAGGGAGCGAGGGGAGATGCAATAGAATAAATAAAAATTTATTTAGCGGAAAACCTACAGTTTCGGTACACTCAGATGAAAATGAAATGAATTATTTGAAAAAATAAAAATTTGAGTGACTTGGGTATTTTTTTTTTAGGGTTAAGAAAATAGAAAATGTGTTTGTTTGACATAAAAGTCAGAAATGAGATTTAAACAATAAATATAATTTAGTTAAAATACATTATTATGGTTTTACCTAATTTGAAAAATATATAATATAGGTTACATTTATAGTTATTTAAGTGATTAATTTCAAACACAATTTATTTCTTCCTGTGTACTTCCTTTTTAATTTTAAAAGTGTATTTGTTTACCTAGCTTTGTTTGGCTTCAAATTTATTGGCGCAAATCAGCTAACAATAAACGTGCAAGTTTTTCCACCTTTAGCCATAATTTGACTACAATTGTTAGCCTGCACCAAGCCATTTTCCCCCTTTGAGCCCCGCGGCCGTTTTTCCTGACACCGTTTTTTTCTATTTCCCCGTCACCCCCTAACTTCACCCTCTTTGTGTGCCAAGTGCCGTTATGCGATTCAAGTTGCGTTTAATAGTTAATGCAAAGCTTTTAAGCACCCAACAGCAGTCAGCAACAACTGCAACACGATAAAAAAAAACTAGAAAAATAAATAAAGAAAAACGAATGCAAGAATTACAAAAAGAAAAAAAAGAATTACAAAGATGTTCATACCCTCTGAAAAGCATTAGGAAACGTACAATTATACGATAAGTATGCTTTTATTACGGATTCTAGTAGATTAATAAAAACCAGTGGAAATGGCGAACTGTGACTTAATAATATTGCTAAAATTAATATGATATAGTTCAAAAATCCTTGAAGTATTTAGAATACTCCAATCGATGTGTTCTTAATGATTTTGAACTAAAAATTGCATTTTCCTTTAAGCTTCTTAGCACTTAATTCAGTTCACTTCATTAAGAGGCAAAGAATAGTAATTAAATCCCTACAATTTTATCTCCACTTGCTACATTGTTTAACACTGTAAATTCCTTTACACCTCTTCATAATGCCCATATACCCGCTTCTCTTTTCACCTTTTTAACGCTCAACTGGTTCTAACTGTGGGAATTAAATTTTCAGGATTTTCGTTTGCAGAAATGGGGGTGGGAAATTCTCGTACTTTTGCACTGCAACAAGGCGAAACAAGTGCGGCATGTAATTACATTAGCTTTTATTTCTATTATGCGCTCATAACGTATTTTTTATTAATGCAGCATTCCATTAAAGGAATTAATGGCGAACAAAAAATAGGGGTGGTGAATGCAGAAGCAGACGGGAAAATCGGATAAGGGAGCTGTGCGGAGTGTGGGTGGGTAATTAAAAATGATTGGAAAGTTGAGCCAACATAATGATGTGCTTAGTACAAGTCGAGAGGAGCTGCCCGGTTGCAAGTGCCGTGTCCATTGCCCAGTGAAAATTGTTTGCTCATTGGGCAGAAGAGATGACGATGACCCAACAAGTTGTTGAGTGCTCAAGGAGCTGTGCCAATATTTGGGTCAACAAGTTGGAACACACTGCAGTACATTAAGCCACATAGCTATATGAAGTAAGATAAGGACTACATACCAACACTCCTTTATATGGGTACTATGCTAAAAAACTAAATAAGGGTTAGTTTGAGTTTTAGAGTTAAAAAAAAATTAAAATTAATTTGTTCCATTTTTTTAGACAAAAAATGTAAAATGATAATTTTCACAGATTACGTTAGTTTAAATAATAAAATCGCCAAATGGATAATAATTTTCGGGTAAAGTTATAGTGCCTGATTAAAAAGAATGCTACAAATTCAACATTACCGAATGCGGCCTTCGTATGTCACCTTGGATATTTCAATTATGTGATCTGGAGTTTTCATTGTTAAGTATATTTTGGATCGAAATATTTTAAAGCAGGCTAATTCAGGTAATTATATAATTTATTTTCTTGTTTTTATGGTTTCAACTCAATTTATTTCACATTAAGTGCATCATTCAGTTAATATAAGTCCTATAACTAATCAATTGAATACAAAAATGAAAAAAATTATTTTTAAATGGAAACATCTTTGAACACTGCGTTCTACCCAGGAATTTATTCACGAGAACAACGACGTTTGCATAGAAATTGCATTTAATTTATTTTTCATACCTCGCAAAAAATATTGAAATCTAAAAAAATAATCGATGCCAAACCAGAAAAAAATCAGAGCTAAAAAAACACAAAAGAATATTTTAGCGGAAACTGCAATGGCCCAACTATTAATATACACACAAAAAAATCAATTTCCTTTTATGGACAATATTTCCCATTCCAAAAGATTTTTCATGACCGGACGAAGTTTATTAAAAAAATGATGCCGGTCGTCCTCCCTTTCTGAGTGTCGCCGGTTAGGCAGCCAATATTTTATTCATTTCTATTTGACACAAAGCTCAAAAAATGCATACAAAACGAAGTGTGAAAAGTGCGGCGATAGAAAGAATTGTTCAATTTTTAGTTATTGTAAACGATCGTCCAAGTGTGAAAATGGTTTTCAGTTTGATTTTTAGTTTTATTAAATTTTCCTGACTCCCTCGTTTTGCTATTGTTATAGAGCCGCGAAGTGAGTGAACGAATGCGATAAGGAAAAGTTTATTTTTTACTAAAGAGTTGGAAAAAGCAATTAAATAAATCGAATGAACTTGGAAATTGACTTAAAGGAATCAAAAATGTTAACAATGTTCCTTTGCATTTTTGGTTTGTTCAGAATTCTGGTCAAACTGAATTGAAATAGAAAAATAAAGGGCTCAATCAACGACTTATGTATGTGCCAGGGCAAATATTTGCGGAAAACCAAATCTGATTAATATTATTAAGATCTTTAGTGACAGTTTTTGTTAGTTTTTTATATTTTTGTTATTCTTTTAGAGTACTGTGAACTTTTATTGATTTTTTGTGTTAATCTTATACATGCCGTCAGTTAATTGATTTAATTGAATTTATAATACAAAATTAAATATACGTATTCCACCTATTGTACCTAATTTTCCAAACATTTTTTGAGTTTAATTTGTCTTAAGATATTTCATTAATTTGTTTTAAAATCTCCTTTACCCAAGTACTTGTCTTAATCAGCCTTACTAACTTAAGCTTATTGGCAGACAGAGATTGCTGGAAAAATGTCTGGGACGAGGCGATGCTGTAGTTGGCAGCTTGAAACTTGGCCCAAAGCAAGTTGGCCCGTCAAAAGTTTTTAGGCGGAGCGTCAATGCTATCGTCATTTTGCTTTGACTGCGCACATGATTATTACACGCGCTCACACACACTCTTTGCCCACATATATACACCACAAGCTGACAGACAGACACATGCAAACTTTGGGCCAAAAAACTTGCCGCAAAAAGTTTTTAAGTAAACGGAGAGAGAAAAGCTGCAAAGGGTAAGAAAAAATTAAACTAAAAACCAAACTTTAACTTAATGAAAATGCAATATTTGCGAGGGCTGTGGGTGGCAAAAGTTTTTCCTGCCTGCTGGCAATTTATGCACCAACGTAGGCCAAGTCAAGGAAATCAAAAAGGAATCAGCTCTCAGTGTTCGGTCCCTGATTATTCCATACAAAATCAAAATCGGAAGTATAGAAGGATTTTGGAAAGACAAGAAGAAAGTAAATACTCTTGATTATGGCAAAAAAAAATAGGCTGGACCCATGAGCATAATAAACGCAAACGGTCTTGTACCCCATTAAAAAGTTATCACGATTTGAGCCAGACTGAAGTAGATCGAGTACATTCGGCATTAGAAGCAGCTTCCAATTTGGGTGAATCCAACAAAAAGAAGGTGCCTACCCGAGAGGGCTTGCAAACTAGGAAGGTTTCTTCAGCAATTAAAAAAGAAGATCCAACAGCTAAAAAAGAAGTTGAAAAGTCTGCTGAATCGATTAAATTAACCAAAAAGAAAGTAGGAATCCAAGAGAGACCGGAAACTAAGAAGAATTCCTCATGCGATGAAGTGGATCCTTCCGAGGAGGAATATGATGAGGATTCCGAGCCTGGAACCTCTCAAAAAAATAAATCGGAATGCAGTTCCTTAACTGTCGATAAAAGAACAAAACGTCGTATGCAGACTGCCTTGAAATTGCTTGATTTTGTGGAGGGCAAATACGATGGCAGTGAAAGCGATTGGTCGGTGGATACTTCACAGTCATCTGAATGTTCGGAAAGTGCCAGTGATGGAGGTAAAAACAGCACTCGGCGGTTACAGGCCATGCGCGATTTGTCTTCCAGGGAGTATTTCGGTTACTGTAGAGATTGCCGATCGCGGTGCAGAAGCTGCGGGAGACGTCCTTCCGCAGTGGCCATACCCAAAAGTAGTAAGCGATAAGCTAGAAAATTGAACATAAATTTATGTTTTTATTTAATCGAATATTTTTAAAATGTATATTATATATCTAAATAAATATCTGGGGATAAATATGTTTCTGGCGCAAAAAATGTGAATTTTTCGGTGCGGATTTTGGCTAAAGCCAATTAGAAATTGAGCGAAATATTATATAAATATTTATATTGTAAATGAGAACATTTCTTCACTATTTAATAATAGAAAACGATAATAGAAACGATTTGAAAGTAATGGAATTAAATGATTGTTTATAATAATTGTTATTGTCTTTCAATATTTCTTGTCCTAGAAACTTTTCTTTTGAAATCATGTTCCTTGATTAAGAGCCACAAAGTGTTTTGATTTTAACAATTTCATTCTTCAAACACCCAAAAAATGTCCCACATGTGGAACAATTTTCCTTTGAATTCTGCAGACTTTTTTATGCGTCTCATAGTTATCAGTTTCTTTTTTCATAAGTCTAGAGCGGAGTTGGAAAAAGGTGCGCCGAGATAATCCAAATCTCATTACGCGCAAGTCATACTTAAGATTAAAAATAATTATTTCAATTTCTGTGCCAGGCCATCGTCACGTAGTCGCACAGATGAGCGGCGGGGAAAAGCGGGGGAAAACCTGGCTGCGGGCCCGAGAAAAAAGTGAAAATTCAATTAGAATGCGCCAACTTCATGTGAACAGGCAGCCAGGCGAGTCTAACTGTCTGGTATGGAGTCGGCGTCCCTCTGTCTGTCTGCGTTCCGAAAATGCAATGCCGGCATGTTGTATTACAGGTGGATGTGGGCGGGAAACGGACTGGATTATGGGTTGAAAATAGGGCGAAGCAGGAGGGGCTAAGAAGGAGATTTGCCACCATCGCGTAATCCTTTTGCCAGCCTGCGAGCAACCACAATAATTTGATTTTACTTTGCTTTAACTTCATGAAAAAGTTTTCAGTTTTTTTCCCCACACACACCTCTGCTGCTGCCTCTGATAAAGTTTTTAATTCTGCAGCTGAAACTCATTTAGCGCAACGAAAGTGCGAAACTGCGGCGGCATCAGAGGATGATACGTGTTTTAGGATCTGCTGAATATTTAATGGGGGCCCTGGGCCCTAAAAAAAGGCTTCTTAAAGATTCGCTTCTCCGCACATACATACCCACATTATTTTTTGTGTTATTTAAATTTCGCCTACAATGTGGCCCAAGGCGTAATAAAAGCCGAAAAACCAACTGAGTTGGAACTTTGGCCAAACAAATTTTAGCAAGAAATTGCTACACGAACTGGAAAATACACAATCTACAAAAATTCATCTTCATTATAATGCTGCGGCTGCTGAAATGCATTTAAATAAGGCCTGGCCAAGCGGAGTATTTGGCGGCATTAGGGGAAATATTCAGCTTGAATAAAATTAAAGGATTGCTGTTTATAGAAAATAAAACTCATTTCAAATAATTTAATAAATTACACGAATTTTGTGAAATTTTTTGTTAATTGTATATATATTTTAAGCTTTTATAACTGGATAAACTTAACGAATTAGGTCGTATGACTTCTAAAAATCTAAATCTGTTATAAACTAAAAAGTAGATTTTTAATACTCTAACTTTTACTCATCTCCGAACAATTTGTATTCCCCAGCTAGATTTTCCTCAATCCATCTCGGACTGTAAGAGTATTAATCGAAATCAAACACTCGCAAACGTCATTCGGCAAAAGCTGTCGCCGTGATTGGGTTTTCCAGTTTGGCTTTTTGATTGCATCAAGGTTCTATTCGTGAGAGTAGTAGTCGAAAGGAAATCGCTTTCGAGAACACAAAAGTTGAGTCGCAATCCCTTTGCCAAGCTAAAATATTTTCTACGTACTAAAAACAATGCAATTCACTTTTTCTCTCACAAAAAGAACAGCCAAACATCCCTACCCCTCGTCCTCCAAAAAGCAATTCTATTTGATGCGGTAAAAGTGTTTGAATTTGAATTTGAATTAATAGGATTAGAATGAAATGACTTTCAATGGGGGTAAATAAATTAAAGTGCTTTTTGCCATCGAATTGAATGCAAATGTTGATTCTGTTTCGCTTACACAAAAGGACTATGAGCAAACGCACAGAGTTGATATAGGAGCAATCAGATTAGTTGGTTAAAAAATATTTCCGCATGTAGCAGCAGCAGCAGAAGCATTTTAATTATCGCAATTCCCCAGGGCGCAGTTCAACTAATTGCCCTCCCTTGAGGCGGTGTTCTAGTGGAGGGGTTGTTCAGATGTCACAATTAAACTATGTCCCCAAACAAGGGATCCCGAAAATTCCGCCCACATCACTGAAACAAAAATTTCAGTAATCTTACTGAGATCGAGACTTATGATCTCTTGATTTGAATCATGGTTAAAAATAATGAACAAAAAATAATTCAAATAAATTGTCTTTTCTTAAATTTTTCTTTGTTTGGGAATTATTTCAAACTAAATTTTCATATTCGCAACTATATAATATAAAAAGAAAACCTATAATTTTTAATTGTTAATTGTTAATTGCTCATATCGAGATTTCTATAATTTATTATTTCTAAAGAAATTCATTTCAACCAAAGACGGTTGGTTTTCTGCAATTATGTACGTAAGAACTATAACGGAATTCGATTGGAAATAATTTCTGTGACACGCCCGATAATTTTCAAGTTCTTAGGAATATTTTCTCCAAGTGCACCTAGGCACTTTTGGGCCGTGTTCGTTTTCCTTATCAGTTACTCAAAATGACAAAAACTGCTGGAGTACCCCTAATAGGAAACCGCAAAAAAACAAAGTCGTGTACAAACTTGAAGTCAGAAGAAGGCGCGTGTTGTTTTGTCCTGGAAAAAATTAGGCATTCCGTGCGAAATGTAGAAACGAGATAATCATTTTAATAAATTTCACTGTGATAAATGACCTGGAGCCTCTCTATTTATTCACCTCCTTTCTCTTCCAGTTTAGTTGTGTCCTTATATGTGTGCTGTGTCCTTGTCCCTTGCCGTAGGCGTGAATTAGTAATAGGTGATGCTTAGGTTATGTCCTGACTAATTGATGAGACAGACCCCTAGAGTTGGTTATTTTTTCTGACGGATGGGGAAGGATTTTTGAAATCTGTATTTTTTTATTCTTTAAAAAAGGTATAGTACATTTCAGAGCGTCACTCAATTACTTTAAAAACCATTTCAAAACTTAAAACAACTATAAGTTTACTAACTACAATTAAAAAAAAAAATTTACGATAATTCCCCCCTGTTTTTCTACAGTTAACCAACCGCACATTTCATCTACCAAAAACGACTGCCAAAGGAGCAGCTGTTAAAAAGAACTGTAGGATGTGTCGAGTGTTTTTAATTTTCGCTTGAGCAGTTTTGGTTCCACTTACCCCTCCCGATCCACCGAAAAAAGTCAATTGTTTGTTTGGCGCATTATGCAAATTTTGAAACTACAAAAGAAAACTTTCAGGATTTTTACGCCATTTTTTGTGGGGCCACAGCTGCTGACATTTTTCGCCAATTTGTGTTGAGCGAGGCTGGCAAAACAAAAATATATTCACAGATTAAAAAGGCGAATAGTTTTTACGTATGACAAGTTTTCTCTGCTTTTATTTGATATATTATATTTGTATAATCCAAGACTTAATGGTCTAATACAATTCGATTCGTAGAAATGATGCAGCGCCGGTAGAAAAGTTTTACCACAGTTAATCGTAGATCTACAGCTAAGCTACATAATAAATATGCCATAATAATAATCTGATAAATATCTAAATATTTGGATGTTCATATGTGATTCATACTTAAAACAGTATTCAATATGCAATTAATCGCTAGTCGTATTTTTGGCCCAATTATCGCTCGTGTGGGTGTGATAGGGAAAGTGTAACAAAAAACAAACTGGCGATTATAGCACATGTATAATTATTAATTAACTCTAAACAATTGCACAAAACAAAATGTTCGTATAAATAATTCGTGACTTGTGTGATTTGATTCGATATAAGTTCGATTGTTTTGTGTTCTTGGTATTTTGGTTTCATTAAGTGTTCCTTGTGGGTGTTGTGTATTTACATAAATGAACTACAAACCTAGAAAAATGAGTGAGATAAAAATATCAACAAATCATACATTTGGCATGTATTTTATGTAAGTGTTTATGTATATGGCGGCCATTAGGAAACCCATTTTGCCAACTCATCCCGAAATGAGCGGAATATCCTAGAGTCCCGATTCCTCATTCATGTCCCTTTTGCACCGATCCTAAACCAATGGCGTGGGCGACATTGTGGCACGTGTCGTTCTGGTGGGCGACTTGGTGGGTGTGGCAGCTCCACTGCTGTTGCCACTGCCGCAACCACCATTTCCATGAAGCCGGAAAAGTTCACCCACCGTGATGGCCACTTGGACGGCACCTTTTCCCTCCAGCACATCGGCAGCACAGCAAATTAGATTCTATAAAAATAAGATTTACACAAATAAATTAAAAATTCATTGAGATTTGGGAAAAAATGGCGAGTTTCTTTTGTTGTTTTTCCTGCGATATAGGGTGTGAATTACATTTTTTTATGTCCCTACGTTACCTTTGTTTGTATTAATTTGCTTTTAAAATACTATAAATAAAAATGTTAAAAAATTTAATTCACAATTATTCTCACAAAATTTTCTAGTTTTAAATTTAATTACTATCAAATAAACTTATTAAGTTTTGTTAAAGTTTTTTTTTTGTTATTTAACAAACAAAAGTTGTCTAAAAAATCATTACGCGTTAAATGTAATTTAAAGTTTTTAAATTATAACTTTTTAGTTTAAATAAAAAACCGAAATCGCAAAAACATATAATAAAATTTTTCTCTAAAGTCCAGTGATCCACAGTTTTCAAGCAACTGGATGGAGTATTGGCTAAATAAAAATGTTCCCACTCCGTGGTTCGTGTCTTAGCTTAACCACAATTACTGTAAAACTGCAAACATCTTAGACGGGGATGCCACACAATTCTCTTGTAGATCCAAGAATTTACAACTTCTATTTGAAAAGGGGCTGTTCATATATTACGTAATCACAGTTTCGACAATTTTTGACCCCCCCCCCTGTAATCAATTCTTCATACAAAAAAAAAAAATTTGCACTAGAGTAATCATTTGGTAGACCCCCCCCCCTAGATGATTACGTAATATATGGACAGCCCCAAACATTTCTGTGACACCTACAAATGTAGTACATTGTTAGTTTTTTTGGTTCGTGTCTTAGCTTAACCACAATTACTGTAAAACTGCAAACATCTTAGACGGGGATGCCACAGAATTCTCTTGTAGATCCAAGAATTTACAACTTCTATTTGAAAACATTTCTGTGACACCTACAAATGTAGTACATTGTTAGTTTTTTTGGTATATTTGTCATATATTTTACTCTTTGCTTTCACTTGTATATATAGCGCTTAGTTGACAGTTTGTGCTTAAATTCTAGAATGCAACAGTTTTCATTTTCATTTGGTTTGGAAGTTAACTTATGGAATATTCCTCTGACAAATGCTGACAAAAAGTTTTGGCTTCAATTTTCATTTTGGAGATTTCGTAAATATTTTTCTGGATATATGCATGTTAAATACGTGTTTTTTATAAAAATTAATGACTGATTACAGCTGCTTCATCATTGCCTTGTCTTTCCTTTAATAATTTTGTTAGACAAAATATATATTTCTGGTATTAGACGCTAGATAAATATATATGTTATCTTTTGTTTCGTTTCTGAGTGTTAGAGATTGTGCTTCTTGTAGAAATTTGATTAGATTTATTTTGTTTTCCTCGTTTAAGTACAAGTTTAAGCTTAAATTAAATAACTTATTTAGGAATGTTGTTAGCACATTTTGAGTTTTAGTCAAGAAAACTTTGTTTTAAATTAAATTGGTATAGAAAAGCGTCGTTCTTGAAAATGTATTTAAATTATTGCTTTCGAAAAAGATAGATAGATAGATTGAATTCAAGTGTAGGCAGACTAGACTGTCGCCGATCTCCAGTCAAAGGCACTATTTTGTGATTATTATTTGTATTGAGATGGTCTTTTTTATATAAAATTGTGCGCACTTAAATTGATTCGAGAAAGTAAGTGATGTTTGGTAATGTACTTTAGCAAACCTGTTCAGATTATTTCTTTGACACATATTATTTGTACATGAAAAATACTTGTAGAATAATTCTATTTGATACATTTTTAATGGGTATACAAAAAACCAATAAAACATAAAATGATTCAGAATGTCTTCAAAAATGGTGTGCACATGTCCAAATAATATTCTTGAAACTGATTTGGTGAACCGTCTCCAGTAGAATCCCTCTAAACTTGCTACATTGGTTGGCTACAGATGAATAACTTTATACTGCAACTTTTTTACCCTTCTCTACAACTATTTTGAGTTTCCCTGCTTCACGTAAAACCATACAACTCCAACTCTCTCCAGTAGATACTTTTTACAATAACTTCCGGAATTAATTGTCCAACGAACTGTAACAAGACTTTCCTTTCTTTCTCATCCTAATCTAATTGGTATATACGTAATATCTAATTATAGCTGCACTAATACATTTTCCTTTATATCTTTATCTGCCAAAATGGAACTTAAATTGATTTAGTTTCGTTGTAACTTAGGTCAAACATGTTATTTAATGATTTATTTAAATATAATGAAATGAAGCGCATTGTTGATTTTCTTTCAGTTCATCACGACTTGAGACGTGGTTATGCAAATGTCAATTTTGAATTTTTTCTAAAATCCTAATCCAATTTAGAGTTCAATAGCATTTTCATGAACTTGGAATATGTGGTTATTGTGGGGGTATTCGTAAAACGACTCTTTTTCAATTATTTTCTATGGGTATGCACAATCGAAGTACTTTAAAAGTAACTTTGTTAATAGTTAATCTTTAATGGGGTGGTACATAAATATTTATTTATTTCATGACGATAAAAATAGTTTAAGTGTCGGTAAATATGTATGTTCTAAATAATATTTTTCAGGTAAAAATGTATTATTAAGTCTGTTAAATAATAACCACTAATAGTTGCCATTACTAATATGTGAAAAATGGTAATTGTGAGATACTTAAATGTTAATTCGTTTTAAAGTAAAAGTTTTAAAGTATAAGTTTATATAATAAAGTATATATGAAATAAAGTAAATGCAATAGAAAGTATAGAAAATATTTTTAAAGGAACTTTTGGTTGGAACTCAAATCGAGCGTTTGTATTTTTTGGAACTTCCATTTTTACTATTTAGGTATGTATAATAGATAGTTAATACTTTTTTGTGCATACCCCTAATAATTTATAGGAAAATGCGAGCCAAAAATGTAATACAATTTAAAAGTCTTTGGGGTTTCTCTCATTTAAATGCCTCAAAAGTTGCCTGTTTGTTTTGTTGTCCTTTGGGGAATTTCCATTTCTTAGATTAAAAGTTAGGTATAGAATGTTTCATAAATATGGGTTGTAAGCCTAAGCGGTAAACAAAAAGCAGCCTCAAGAAGTCACTACCATGAGAAAAAGCGCAACAGCAGCCCTAACTCTCGTGTTTTATCTTAATTCTACTGGCAAACCAAGGCGCAAAAAATAAGCTATACTATATGGACTAGCCGGGCAACGGGAAGAAGACCAGCCAGAGGAAGGTGGCGATGAAAACGCACGACAAGATCACTGTCAACGTGTGGGAATCATGCTTTAATATTGAAGTTCCAGCTTCGTTAGTCTTGGCTTTTATACTCTGCTCGAGCTGCTTGCTTTTCTCCTTTGGTAAATAGATGCTGAAGACCTCCAGTTTCTGTTTGCCATGCCTTTGCTGCTCGAAGAACTCGATGCGCTTGCTGATGGCTTCCTTGGTTGCGTTGTCCAGTGAGCTTGCATCCTTCGAGTCCTCTGCTTGTTGCTGCTGCGGTTGCTCCTGTTTTTCGTCTATAATTTGATAATGACCCGCCGGTCCTGCGGCGGCCACATCATGCTCGTTCTCCACAATCGTGTGCAACTTTCTATTATTATTGTTGCCCTGGAAATTATGCTGACCATGGGCACTCAGCAAATTTTGTTTGATCTTCTCATAGGTTTTTTGCTTGGCCTTCAGCAGCATTTGGCCCACTGTCGCCAGTTGCTGCTGCCGTTTGCCCATATCATCATCACGATCCTCAACCCCATCATCATTTTCAGCCCTTGGCTGGCCATTCTCATACAAAACATGCTCTAGCTGCTGCTGTTGCTGCTGCAACTGCAACATCTGTTCTTGCTGTTGGCTGCAGGTAGTTGGCTCACTGAATTGCTCTTGCTCGAAGTGTTGCTGTTGCTGCTGCAGCTGAAGATGATGATGAAACTGCTGATGATACGGATTCTCATCCAGGGCAATCAGAGCGGACACTGTGCGCAGTAGGGCCAATGCATTGGGCACTCTATCAATATGGTTGCTGCTGTTGCTGCCATCGCTGGTGCATTGCATGTTGCTGCTGTTGCCACTGATGTTGCCTTCATCTTGCACATAAACATCAGCATCATAGTCATCGTCAGCACGTGACATTTGTGGTTGTTGCGGTTCAATTTGTGGCACAACATCTTCACAGGAGCAAATCAACTCCTGCAACCAACACCAATAACAGATGCATCAGTTTCTTGTTTGTATTTTTGGGTATTTTTGTGGGTGTATGTGTTTGTGTGGTATGTAATTGTGTGTGGGTTTTTGAAGGTTTAACACTTAAAACTAAACTACAATTGTCCAGGACAAAAAGCAAGTGGAAAGCACTCAGCATAGTAAAGCATTTAACCAAAGCCACCGTTACCTTGAACCAACACAATAACTATAACTACAGTATAAGGAATTTCATAAGGTACAGTGCGTTTCGTACCGTGGGAACGGAAGTTACTCAATTAATATTTATTATTTTTACAAAAATTAATTTTATAACTTTTTAATTAAAACTAGTTAATAAAAAATGTATGCCTAATTTGTTGAGCTTTTTAAACTGTGTTATTAAACATAAAAAAAAATATAAATATTAAAAAAAGAGTAAAATTAATTTCAAAATTTTTCAATTAATATTTCAATGCAAGCATTTATTGTGATAACTATCCTGCTTCCCAAATCATTAACTGCCAAAACGCACTGTACTTATATTATTAAGAATACATTCATCTACGCACCTCATCTACACCAATGCGCCGACACGCTTCCAAAAAGTTATCCACATTGCGACGACATCTGGCCATAGTCAACTTGTTCTGGAATCCAAGAGATGATATATTAGTTTAACCGAAAATTAAATAAAATCCCACACACTCACCACACCAGGAGATGGCACATGAATGCTGGCCACCGAACGTGGGCGCACATAATTGGCCAAATGGCACAGAATAACACCATCCGTCAGAGCAGAGGCAATATCCACAGGCAACGTCATTTTTAAACGCGTTTCAATGATCTTAAAAATATAAAAATGGATTAAGCTGTCTTTCTTTGTCCCAAACTATCCCGTCACACTTACAATCCTCAACTGCGACATCAATTCGGTTTCCTCCCTTTGGCGATCGAACTCCCGGCGCATGGTGAAGCTCAGCTTCTCGGCGGGAATATCGTGGTTCCAGGTCACCGAACGGTGTGTCTTCACAGTGCCAAGCTTGGTGGTTGAGCTAACTGGCGATTTGATGGTGGTGCTGCTGGCGATGCCCGCTTGGATTGGTGTCACTCCTCCACCGTTGGACGTACTGAATTTATTTGTGCCATTCTTCATGGGACTCTGTGGCTTAACGTAGCCCAAACAATCCGATGAAATGGCAGAGGGTATGCCGGATGTGGAGGCCGGCTTTATTTCCGTGTTCCGAGAGGGGATAACCTTCTGAATAGGTTTCTTTGGTATGACAACATCATCAACTCCGTTCCCGTTTCCGCTTCCATTTCCGTTCCCATTATGACCGTTCTGGTTGCTGTTCTGCTTCATAATGGACTTTGGCAGTGTGTTTGAGGATGATCCGTTGGCGATAGCCGGCGGCGACGGTGAGAGATCCTCGTCGTCATTGGGACTGTGGTTGGCATTCGGATGCTTCTGCTTGTAGACGCTGATCTCCTGGTTGCGCTGCTGTTTCAGGGCCTCCTTGTACTCCCTGTTCGAGGAAAGGTATAAAATTAATACCAAATAACGGATATTATAGAAATCCACTCACTTGTAAGTCTGAATATTGCCGAGACTCTTTCCGGATTTCCCATTGGCGAGGTGTACAGAACGCTCCTGATGGTCCAGCATGATGTCCTCGTCCTGATCCGGCGACGAACTATTACTAGAGCTATTCGAGTGCGCATAGCTCAACTTGCAGGGCGATGACGTGGGGCTCAAAGTGAGACTCTCATCCACAATCGTACTAGTGCTGGAGGTGAGGGATGCATCCATCAGATCCGCATGCGAATGAACCGCACTTGGCAGTGTCCTGGGCAAAGTGGCAGCCGCCGAGTTGGAGACACAGTGCAGCGGTGAATCCGTTTTCGATTTAGCAGGGGCATCGTGCGACCAGCGCTTGTCGAGACCATCACTGGTGCTATAACCAGAGTCAACCTGATGTCTTCGCTGGTTGTTGCTGCTGCCACTGGTGCTGGCTTCAAGGACATTGCCGCTGGAATTGTGTCGAGGAGCCCTTCGCAGTGTGGTGTATCCATCATAGTTGCCGCCGGACCGGGAGCCCTTCTCGTCCTTGGTGGCCTGCGTTTCTAAAAATTTGAACACGTGCACCAGGCCACGCATGCAAAGCTGTAAGGGTTTAAAAAAGGATTAATTAAACTAATTGTTATAAGGGTGTTTGTGATAACAACTCACACTAGCTGGAGGCGAGGTCAGAGGATTATTCTCCAGCTGCAGCTCTACCAGAGTGCTCATGTGACGAATCTCTAGCGGCAGACTAGCGATCTTGTTGTTGCTCACATCCAGGGATATCAAACTCAAACAAGTTAGCTCCCTGGGCAGATACATCAAATGATTGCTTCTCAGCGAAAGCGAACGCAGAGTTCTCAGCTCGCCCAGACGAGCAGGCAAGTTGGTCAGCTGATTGTACGAAGCATCCAGATCGGTAAGGGTCTGATCCAATCGACCCAGTTCATCGGGTAACGAAGCCAATCGATTATTGGACACCAGGAGCACCTGAAGGGGCAGGAAACAAAGCTCGCGGGGAAGCGAGGATAGCTGATTGCTGCGAAGATCCAAGTAGGTTAGCGAGGATAGCTGCTTCACCGATTCCGGAATGCTACGAATCCCATTGTGATACAGCAGCAAGGTCTCCAAGAACGCAAACGTCGTGACTTCTTCGGGCAGCTCTGCGAATCTATTCCGGGACAGATCTGAAAATGAAAGCAAAGGGCATATATTAATTTGGAATCCAACTGGGGGATGGATGTTGAGTGAACCCGAACCCTTGTTCCATTTGACACGCACTTTCATTCCCATTCCCCCTACGTATACACTCCACGCCACAGTGGAGCGCCTGACCTCAATCTGCCGGCAATTTGATTCGCCCCATTCCAACCAACAGGAAAAGTAATGCAAATAGAACGGTTTACTCGACTCCTAGATGCTCTTCAAGCAACATTTATTACAGTTCAAAGTGCTTGGTAAAATAATACAAATTAATTTTAAAAGGAAAGCAATTAACCATTATTATTATGAAAAGAGTTGTGCATACAAAACTTATTTTCATTATTTGTATGTAAGAAAAGAAATTGCCTAATTAATAGTTATTTAAATTTATTAGCCCTTAATTTGATTTCGATTGTTTTTATTTATACAAAATTATAATATTAACTATTATTATACAGCATATTTTAGTATAATAAATATTTGCCAAAAGTAGTATACCCCGTTCATAATTCCCACGAGAATTCCAAAAAGTGGGCAAGTGCGTTTGGAGTGAGCAATTAATTTACTAAATGAATTTGCATGCGAAATGAGCGCAAACAGAACAGAAACTGCGACTTTGTGGGAGTGGTTATGAATAAATCAACTAAAAAAGCGGAAAAAGGAAAACAGAGAGGCAGATACACAAAAACATATTAAATATCGTGTTTAAAGTCTTTTTGAAATTCAACAAAATAAAACACGACATTTGTATACGAAAATTTCTTAAAATAATATTTTCAAAGGCAAGATGATACAAATTTTTTGGTAATACTATACATTAGCGGGCTCACCCCCGAAATTCGCGAAAAAATTATCCTCGATGGACCGCGATTTCTTAAGAATTTACGTGCAAAAAGAATTTGGCGGTCGGCCATGGTTCTCTTGTAATTGAATTTCAAAGTTCCCGGGTTTGCTATAAAAAACAAGGGTGCTTTTCTCATATTTTCAATCAAAGTAATTAAGTTTTAATGAGTTCCTATAAAATAATTTAATTGTTTAAATGAGTTCCTATAAAAAAAATGTAGAATTTTTTTAAATTAAAAGTTTTAATGAACACTTTTCCGCACCACCATTGAAGTAAAGTTCCAGGTTTTTTCTTTAATAACCTTTTATGGCCTAGATATCTCTCTGCTGAAGTATTCCCGAATAGGAAGTATTTGAAAGAAGTGCGTTTAAAAAAGAAATTTAAAAAAGACTGCGCCGCAAGCAAAAAAAATTTAAGAAAAAATCGCGCGATTTTTTGCAGTTTATTTTGTTCAATATTAAGCTAGTAGTTTTGGCTGAATTAGGGTTGGTGTGTCGCTCAGAAAATACAAATTCAATCCTTAAGTTTATTTTTGGGTGGAAAAGACTAAAAGAAAGGTTAAAATATATAATCCTCCTTGGACCGCGATTTCTTCTGATTATCATAATAAAAATACACATGTGGTCATCCATGGTTATGAGAGTTCCTAAAAACTCGCTGTCCATCGAGGATCATTTTTACGCGGTTGTGAGGACTAGTTCCCTATAATACCAATTACTCAGATGTTTGGAATTTTAAATTAGTCTTATTTTGACAAAAAAGGAAAAGGGTACATATATACCAGGGCTGTGAACCACTCCGGAGCTGAACCACTCCGGTTCGGAGTGGTTCACTTTTTTTAGGAAACGAACCAAACCGTAAACCGGAGCCCCGAATTTTTTTATAATTGAACCGGAACCGAACCGGAACTTTTTTTTTGATATTCGGTTCGGTTCACGAAAAATTTATTTTGTGTGTTCGTGTTTTTTATTCAACAGTGTGGGGGGTTTTCTGATCATATTAACATAGAGTTTATTTACTAAGGGAAATAAAAATGCGCAAATTTTTTTGGCTATGCAATGACTGCATCTAACTCAAACAATCTAATAATATATAACTATCATCTTCCAAAACTTTTCGCAGTATGCCCACATTAAAATTACATGATTAAAGCAAAGAGTATACTCTTTGCCTTAACTGGTAAACACTTTATAAATCATAAATCTAGTAACTTTACTTATAAGTCATAATGTTATGCTACATATTTCAATGATAATACATGGAAATCAATGTTGACTTTATTATTTCATTAAAGAAAAAAATTTTTGAACCCTGGTTCAAACCTGAACCCTGCTCCGGCTCATCATTGAACCGGTTCGCAAACCGGAACATTATCTATCGATTAGGTTTGAGCCCCGAACCGAACCCATGCAAAAATAATATGGGTTCACAGCCCTGATATATACATATATGATTTTTATAGCAAACGTTAGAAAAGCATACTTGTTTTTTATAGCAAACCCGGGAACTTTGAAATTCAATTACAAGAGAACCATGGCCGACCGCCGAATTCTTTTTGCACGTAAATTCTTAAGAAATCGCGGTCCATCGAGGATAATTTTTTCGCGGATTTCGGGGGTGAGCTTGCTAATGTATAGTATTACCAATTTTTTTTCTTCTGTGTATTAAAGCAAAGAGTAATCAACGTTAAATTGTGCGCAAAGTTTCGGGGGAAACACAATGAGAATTTACCATCAAGACATTTTTGCGAAATTGGGCAGATCGAGTTGTGATAAGAGTGTAGAGTGAATTATTACATACTTCCTTTTTTCCAAAGGCGCGTGTATATATTAGAGGTCTGCATGAATGCATTTAAACTGACAAATGAATCACTCATTCTTAAAACTTGTATAAGTTTTTCTGTATTCATTACTTTAAATATGAGTGAATGTAGTACTTGTGACTGTATTGCCAAATACTGTACTCACTTTTCCAGACACAGTACAGTTTATTGTGAATACAGTGTTTTTGGTGTACAATAACTTATTGTACAGTGAATGAAGTTTTCCCAAAATTACAAGGCCTACTGAATTTATAAAATTTTAAAGCTTGCTTATTTCTTTGTAATATTGTAATCTATCCACTAGCAGAATAACTTAAAACCTAATGAAAGAGACGAAGTGTCGTTAGTCATAAAATATTGAGGTATTTATTAATACATTAATCGCTATTTAAGACATTTTCATTACACTCAGGGAAAAAATTGTTCTGATTGTGTCTGAAAACGTGTCTGTTTGAGTCTCAAAAATAGCTTTATACCGTTTAGTATCATTATAAGAATTTATGGTATTATTTTAAGAACGGATTTTTAAGACCGCTGTTCTTACTTTAAGAACGAAACGTACTTAAATTTATATTTATTTTTAGTAAAAAAAAGAAATATTTTTAAATGCTCCTGTAAGCATTATGCCATGGAAGGAAATAATAAGGCCATGGCCCAGGGGCCAAGGTGCTGGATTCTGGTATTATTTTGTGTTTGGGGGTACGAGGTTCAATTCCCGCTCACAACACAACTTATTTTTTTTTTTTGTAATTAGTAAATTAACAACTTAACTTTTTTAATACATTTTTGTTCTTAAAGTTATAAAGGAAATGTTAATTGAAATACATTTGAAAAACTTTTTACTTACGTTGACTTATTCGGGTTTTGAACCGGGGTCCTCTCGCATCAGAGTCAGACGCCTTACCAACTGGGCCATCGCACCGTGTATCGCGCGCGTGCATAAGTTCAACTTAAATCTAAATTTACTGGTCTTAAATCAATACCCTTTGGTATCAATATAAGAATATGGTCTTAAAAAAATAAAAGAACAAAACGGTAGTAATGTAAGAAATTCGGTCTTAGATTTTTTCGGTCTTTTTTTCTGGGTGTAATGCTGTCTATATTGGAGTTTAAAAACATTATTTTGTTGACCATGTCTTCAGTCGAAGCAATTTTGGAACGCTTTGCGGAAATTCGATTTTTTGCAATAGAAAACAAGCAAAGAAATAATATCGCACTCGGTATTCGTATTATTAGGCAAATCCATTCTCAGATTTAGCTACCGACAACTCTCACACTTTTTTTTCTACTCAGAGTACAGTACTATACAATAGTAATTGAGACGACACTCATAGTTTTTTTCAAATTGAGAAGCATACACATAGTACTAAAAAAGTGTTGCAACTCTAAAATAGTGTACTCAGTTAAAATCGGTATTGTGGGTACTCTGTACAATATTGTATAAGTACACTAAATGTGAGTACCGTATACAGCTGTACAGTACTGTAAGTTTTGAAATAAATACATTCATGCAGGCCTTTAGTATATACACTCATAGAAATTTTTACCCTAAATCGCCCTAAAAAACTGACTTTTCGCCCGTGGATTTAGAAAATCGCCCATAAATCGTATCCGCTGGCGATTCGCCCGTGTATTTAGAAAAATTTTCTAAAAAATCCCGATGGAAATTTGGTTTAATTTAGGGTGATTTTTCTTGAAATAAGAAATATTTTCCTGTTTTTAGGGTGATTTGCCCTAATTTTAAGGTGTATTTTTCTAAAATTAAGGGCGAATTTTCTGATTTTATAAGCAAATGCCCTAAAAAATTAGGCAAATTAAAAAAAATCGTGTTTGAGCATGCTTAACTGAATTTGGGAAGCATGTTTTTTTTTTAATCGTCTATATTCTGGGACTGCTGCTTTAATTAAACAACACCGGCAGAGGACACCGTTTCATATTATTGTATTGGTGTGTAGCTTATATGGGAGCTGCGTTAAGAGGGGGGCCCGATCTATACAACACAGCCGTTAGAACTGAAAAATCATGTTTGTAAACGAATTAGGGAAATAAATATGAGGAGAAAAAACAACTTACTTTTTTTGGTCGTTGCGAGAATCGAACCCACGACCTCTCGGTTTAGAGTCTAACGTCCTACCGCTGCACCACAGACCCATCGCGCAAGACAACGAACAAACTCTGCAGACATCTTATTTTCTTGAGGTCTACGTTATATTTTGACTAAAGGCAACTAAACCGTATATTTTTTCCTGACGATTGTGACAATTAGTCCCGTTTTCTTGCCAGCAAACACAAAGATGCTTTTAACTCAGAACTCCCATACGTTTTAAAGGTTTAAAGACTACTTTAATTTAAAAATCGGACGAAAAAATGTCCTTAGTATTATAACGTTTACAAAAAAAAAAAAATAAATAAAAATCAAGTTGAATCACACAGAGTTCGAACCCACAACCCCACGACCTTAGTCCTCATATAGCAAAGTTGAAAGCGCAAGTGATTAGACCGCTGGGCTACCGAATTTCACACTTTTGGAGTGATTTTTAAGGCGAATCGCCCTTGTATTTTTAGAAAAAAAATTAGGGCAATTCGCCGTTGGATTTAGAAAAGGTCAAATCGAAGCAAATCGAAAAAATCGCCCTAATTATTAGAAAAATAGAAAAATTAACCCTAAAAATATTTTTTTATGGTCACCTGCCTTGAATTTATGGCAAAATTGTCGTGAAAATAGAAAATTTTTCTCAGTTCAGGGACGAAAATTTTTTTAGGGCAATTTTCTAAAATGTAGAAAATTATTTTTATGAGTGTATGTATATGTTTTAAAATTGATAAGATATGTACATATTTCTCAGAAAAAATACAATATATATAAAATTTCGGACCATAAATGTTTAAAACTAAACCCAAACTTTGTCAACAAATATCACTAAAGAATGGCTAAATACTAAATCAATATTAAACATTTTTCAAAAACTTATTTCCTTATTGAAATAAATCAAATTTGACAGAAAAGTATCTATATAATAAGTAAAAGTGCTGAAAATGAGATTTCGTTCGCTAAAAAAAATTTTATGGAAGGAGGAAGCCGTACTACCGGTGATTCTAGTAATTGGAAAAACTATTGCTTACTACGTCCTTATGAATATTGTGTTGCCGGAACTAATGAATATTGGAAGTCCAGGATACATATTCCTCAGGCTCCTGGGACTCTTTCTCTTTTCGAATATCATGTCCAATATGGCCATGTGCATGCTGGTGGATCCAACCGTCAATCCAAAGCAGTTAATTCCGCAATTCGAGTTGAGAAAGAACAGTAATGACTGGCACGAGTGCCGAAAGTGTGAGATCTTGGCTCCTCCTCGATCCCATCACTGTAGGATTTGTCAGGTTTGTGTTCTCGCGCGGGATCATCACTGCTACTTTACAGCCTGCTGCATCGGCCATAGAAACTATCGATTCTTCTTCTATTTGGTGTTTTACACATTTTTTGCTTCTTTAATCTCGTTCATCGTTAGCAGCATTTTCTGGTTCGTGCTTCAAGGTGGCAGCTATGAATTTTTCGAAATCCACTTAATATGGATAGAAATTGGTATCCCAGTTGGTAAATTCGCCTTTGTAGTCCTCTATATTTTGATGCTGCTCGTGTTAGTTGTGTCTGCTTGGGAATTGTATAATCGATGGCCAATTATTCGATATGGGGCCACCTATTTCGAAGCTAGTTCCAAGAACTTTCTGTACGATCAGGGAATGAGATCAAACCTAGAGATATTTTTCGGTCAGCGGATGCATTGGACTTGGATCTCCGCATTTATACCCAGCCAGCTGCAACATGATGGAATCCACTGGCGAAAAACAGATGGCAGTAAAGGCGATTGGACAATTTAAAGGATCATATAGGTATAATTCTTATCGATTTTATAAAATTTAGAAAATAGACTAAATTTGAACAACCAAGCTTTTCTCGAGTAATTTGTTATTAGCTCCTGGATTTAAAATAAATTAACATATTGTAAAAATCCATAATGTTCAAATGGGAGAAAGCAAGTTTTAAAAACTGAAATACAACTTTTTAAAGCCTAGACTTTACTTCACCTTCTTCAAGTAGTTGAAGCACTTGGCAAACAGTGCGTATGAAATTGGTGAGTTTTAATAGCCGTATCGTAAAATTAACGAACCGCACACCAGTCAAGACTTTTCAACGTCTCTCTGGCGAATTTTACGCAACTTGCCAAAACGCAGTGAAAACCAGAAATGAGCAATTGCGGGGCAAGAAAAACTGGCTAGCCTGAATAAGTGACTGATTGAATGACTGAGTAACTGACTGTGAACTGGCGACAGCTGAGAAGTGATTTACGCACTGAGGGGAGTCACTGGGACTAGACTTTGTAGACTATGCATATATCTTCCTGCGGACAAAGGCGATGAATGAATGGGAGCTTGACTTCGGTAGCTTCTAGACTTTAACCTGCTCCTACTGCTGTTGCATACTATATGAGCTCACAATGATGCAACGCTTGAAGGCGGCACACTGAAAAAATATGCACTTAATCTGACTTATACGAAATATTTTACATATTTTTATTTCTTAGCATATAAGTCGATACACTTGAATATTTACTTATTAATTATTATTAATTTATCTTTAAAATTCTTTAAAATGTAAACTATTTAAAATTCTTAGTAATAAAAATTCACATATTTTTAACTGTTGAAGTAAAATTTAATATTTTTATAAGAAAATGTATTTCTAAAATTCTTAAAAATTTAATTTTTTTATAATTTGTACAAATAATAATTCTCCTATGAACTATTTTCTATACTATTACAAAATGATTCGTTAAAAACAATGTTCCTACATTTTAGCGCAAGTGCATAGTCCTTTTTTCTAGCATCCTGTCAAGTTGAATAAACCTTTGCCGGCCAATGACGCCGGGGTGAGATGGCTTTGAGCAGAGAAGTTTGTTCGAGGATGCGGATACGGAAATTGGATTTCCCTGATGCGGAGGCATCAATTTAGGACAAAATGGGACCAGGAGCGACTTTGCACTTTGAACCTGCAGACCAGTGACAAAGATATTTTTTATCTCTAGCGACACCTGCTCAATTGTGCTCTCGCTGGCAGTTTTCCAAGAGTTTCCACTCTATTTCCCCGCTCACTCCCCTTTTTTTGGCCCACAGCTGGCTTTTGGCCAACTTTAACGCAATGCGACAGGCGAAAATGTGTTTTTTACGTCTCGCCAAATAAATCACATTTTTTGACGCGCCGAAAAAAATGTAAAGTGCCATCGCTGTTTTGTTTGTATTTTTTAATGTCCCTGTTTCTTTTTAATTTCCATTTTAATTTGCCCACCTGAGGCACACCATAAAATGTCATAAATATTGCAGAAATCGTCCTCAGACCGACCACGCAGGCGGCATTTATCCAGCCAAAAAAGGGTGCGGCTCGGGATTCGGGACCAACATGGATTCGAGCAACGCCCAAAGTCAACTTTGACAACGGACACGCATAACAATGGAGCAATTTGATGATGTAAGAGGAGAAGCGAACGACTAAATTATGACCCACCTTAGAGGTGCATAGACATTTCATATACTTTATAATAACAATAAAAAAAAATGCATTTTATAATAGGGTAAATATTTTTGGAGTAATAAAACGTAAAAAAAAGTAAATTATTTGTATATTTTTCAATAAAATATTTTTAAAATTGAGGTTTATAGAAACAGAACTAAATTGATTCTTATGTTTTATATATATTTTATTTTATTGTTGCAATATATATTAACAGCTATAAGGTTAAAGAGAATATGTCACAAACTAAAAGATAAGAAGATAAGATATATATCAGATTGATAAAAGGACCTGATTGCTTGATAACACATATATACAAAGTTGCATATAAATAGGATGTTTATCAATGCACTCTAATGTGGAATAACGAAAAATAGCAATGCGTTGTTAAAGCGAAAAGCTTTGTAAATATACCTGAATAATATTACCAAGTAATATGTTTGCCTTTTATAACCGTGCATACCCTGCAGGTTAAATGGTTTGCACCGCAAAAAAGAAGCTCAGAGAAGCTGGGTCGAGTAAAATGACAAATTCGAATTTTGAAAACGGGAATCGTTTGACCCCCATTTGACCACTTTTGCCCACCCTTTAGTTTTTTTTGACCACGTCCAGTTTCGAAAATATCGAATTTCGAAAATTTTCGAAAATCAAAAATTTGACTTTTTCAAATTTTTTTTTGTGGAATCGTTTGACCCCCATTTGACCACCATTGCCCACCTTTTAGAATTTTGAAAAAGTCAAAACTTTGGAAACTGTGGCCATTTTTCGTTTTTCTCAAAATTCGAAAATTTTAAAGTCGAATTTTTCAAAACTTTTTTTTGTCCAATCGTTTGACCCCCGATTGACCATCATTGACCACCCTTTAGAATTTTGAAGAAGTCAAAACTTTGGAAACTGTGGCCATTTTTCGTTTTTCTCAAAATTCGAAAATTTTAAAGTCGAATTTTTCAAAACTTTTTTTTGTCCATTCGTTTGACCCCCGATTGACCATCATTGCCCACCTTTTAGAATTTTGAAAAAGTCAAAACTTTGGAAACTGTAACCATTTTCCGTTTTTCTCAAAATTCGAAAATTTTAAAGTCGAATTTTTCAAAACTTTTTTTTGTCCAATCGTTTGACCCCCGATTGACCATCATTGACCACCCTTTAGAATTTTGAAAAAGTCAAAACTTTAGAAAATACAACACTTTTTCGTTTTTCTCAAAAGTCGAAAATTTTAAAGTCGAATTTTTCAAAACTTTTTTTTGTCCAATCGTTTGACCCCCGATTGACCATCATTGACCACCCTTTAGAATTTTGAAGAAGTCAAAACTTTGGAAACTGTGCCCATTTTTCGTTTTTCTCAAAATTCGAAAATTTTAAAGTCGAATTTTTCAAAACTTTTTTTTGTCCATTCGTTTGACCCCCGATTGACCATCATTGCCCACCTTTTAGAATTTTGAAAAAGTCAAAACTTTGGAAACTGTAACCATTTTCCGTTTTTCTCAAAATTCGAAAATTTTAAAGTCGAATTTTTCAAAACTTTTTTTTGTCCATTCGTTTGACCCCCGATTGACCATCATTGCCCACCTTTTAGAATTTTGAAAAAGTCAAAACTTTAGAAAATACAACACTTTTTCGTTTTTCTCAAAAGTCGAAAATTTTAAAGTCGAATTTTTCAAAACTTTTTTTTGTCCAATCGTTTGACCCCCGATTGACCATCATTGCCCACCCTTTAGAATTTTAAAAAAGTCAAAACTTTGAAAGATATACTACTTTTTAGTTTTCACTAAGTTTCAAAAAAATTAAAAGTTGAATTTTTCAAAATTTTTTACTGATATGTCTTCGATGTGTCCACATCTTAAGGTTATACAAAAAAAGTTGTGAGTCAATCGGACAATCCTAAAAACAAATAATTTTTGATTTTAAGCGGATAAAAAAATATTTAAAGCTAAAAAATGTAAAAATCTTCCCAGGGGACGGTTTCTTTCTTTTCTTAAACATAATGTAAAAGCAGAAGGGAAATCCGAATATTTTTATACCCTTGCAGAGGGAATAATGATTTCAGGCAGAAGTTTGCAACGCAGTGAAGGATACGTTTCCATATAGACCCCATATAGCTTCGATGCTTTTAAACATATAACCTTCAACGCTTGGTAATAACATTTTTTTTAATAGTTCTGAATTTCGAATTTAATTTTATAGAAATCGGACGACTATATCATAAGCTGCCATAGTAACGATCGAAAAATACATGGGAAATTAATAGGAAACAATTATAGCTTCGTTGGTTTTAAATGAATTCTCTTCTTCTCTAAAATATTCATTTTTTTTTGCATTTCCGAATTTTGAATTAAATTTAACATTAATCGGACGACAACATTATATAGGTGCCGTAGAAAGGACAGAAAAAATAATGTCAAAATAATACGAAATTTAATATTTTTGCGATTTTTAAATTAATAGGAATGATCTGTTTCTTTCTTGTTTATAATGTATTAAATGCTTTATAATAAAAAATCTGTAGATTTTTTAATTTCAATAGAAAAGTATTAAAGCGTAGATTATACATTTTTCAACTTTTAAGCCAATGCACCCAACAGTTTAAAATTTATTTCAATTCAATCTTTTATTTCAATTTTGAATATAAAAGTTGTTGACAAATAACTCATTATTGTTAATTGACAATTTTTTTTAATAGGTTAACTTTTACTTACGACCCCTGACTTAAAAACAAAAATTATGATTTTGACAAGACTTTGGTTTATTTGAAACACTAATTTTCGGGAAATTGTAATTGTAAACAAAGTTTACATTTAATTAGGGGTGAGCACTGAATTTTTTATAGTTTTAATATTTTTAGTTCGTTTATTTTAAAAATTGTGTAGTTTTAAGTGCTCGGTAATCGTTTGTTATCATAAATATTAAGTTTTTGGGTGTGGGCAAACGAATTCATTAAGTTTTAAGGGTGGGGCAAACAAATTTTTCGTAAGGATAAACTTATAATTAACATTACTTTTAAAGTATTCAATTTTTGAAAATTCTAATTCTAATTTAAATTCAAAATTCTGAAAGGTGGACACAAGTGGACACATCGAGAACATATCTGTCCACCAAAAAAATTTTTAAAAATACGAGATTAATTTTTTTGAAATTTAGTGAAAACTAAAAAGTGGTATATCTTTCAAAGTTTTGACTTTTTTAAAATTCTAAAGGGTGGGCAATGGTGGTCAATTGGGAGTCAAACGAATGGACAAAAAAAAAAATTGAATATGTCAACTTTAATATTTTCGAATTTTGAGAAAAACGAAAAAGTGTTGTATTTTCTAAAGTT